ACAACTTACGAAATAATTCATTTGATTTTGGGCTCACAGTTCCAGAGGGTTAGAGTCCATAACTATTATAGTCTGGAGCATGGCAGGAAGCAAGCAGGCATTGCGCTAGAGCAGTAGCTGTTATCTTACATCTTTATCCACGAGCCCAAGGCAGAGAGCTAACCGGGAATGGCACGGACTTTTAAAACCCCAAAGCCCATTTCTGGTGACATGTCTCCTTCTTTAAAAAGGCCACACTTCCTAATCCTTCCCAAACAGTTCCACCAACTGGTAACCAAACATCCAAATTCATAAACCTACAGGGGCCCTTCTCACTCAAACCATTCGAATCATTAGGTCTTTTCCCTGGTAAAATGGCAACATACCTTGATTATGCTGTTTTCTCAAGAAATTATTGACCATTGAGTTCATTAACCTACATGGCATTTGCATATACATGTAGTGAAATTGATATGTGCCGTATCTGCTTAACATGTTAACCCCTTCCGCTGAGACAAGCAGAGCCCCCCCCCCCTTTTTAGCCTGCTGTCTCTCTTCCCGTCCCTCTTCTGAGAGGTGGGATGGCTGAGGACATGTGGGGACCCTGATCTCAGACCACTTTCCAGCATCCTGTGCCTGCTCCATCACTACAAATGACCAAATAGCAATAAGTCTCATATTGTAAATTGTAGACAGAAGATAGATGGGCACAGAACAACATCCATCTGCAATTCGCTTCATCAACTGCCAAGTGCTGACCATTGGGAAAAACTGCCTCTCATCTAAACTGAAGAATCACTGGAATCAACAGCCTAGCTGCTCAGGTCAAAGTCTAAGAGACACCGAACAGTTCCATACCATAAACCCTGGACAGGAGCAAAGTGACCAGCTACCCTCCAGGATGTGAACAGCATCTAGCTTTCTCAAGTCTGCCCCCCAGATGACACCCACAAATAAGCAGGAAGCAGTCTTAAGAATCTGCCATCTGAATTCTCTTAACCTGCCATGCCTAACCCCTGTCTTTTTAGCATAAGAGAAAGATGGAGATGTTATTATTTCACTGACTTTCCCTGTCACCTGGGTACCCTGTCCCTTTAAGAGAGAAGCTTCACCCACTCCCAACCCCTCCCTTCCGCTCAGGCAAGTGGACCCCCCCCCCATTTCCAGACTGCTGTCTCTCTTCCCATCCCTCTTCTGAGAGGTACCTACTGCCCCTCTCCCTTCTCCCACCTTCTCCCCTTTCCTCTTCCCCTCCATAACACACTAAATAAACTCTACCCAAAAAGAAAAATTAACATGTTAAAACATAAACCCCAAAGTGAGACTATTAAGATATGGGGCTTTTTAGTACTGATAGTGTGATGATCTCTCCAAATTCAGTAATAGAATTATTGCCTATATAATTCCTTCAGTCTCTTAGGAAGGGCGTTTTTGTCACTTTATACCATGTGAGGACATAGACATATGTACTGTCCATGAAGTAGGTAGACAGAATTCAGAAGCTTAAGAATCATCTAAAGCTGTGTGGTTCTGGTGCGGGAAAATTGTCTGTATTCTGTCAATCATGTTTTAAATAAACGCTGATTGGCCAGGCAGGAAGTAGAAATGATGTAATGAGAACAGGAGAATTCTGGGAAGGAGGAAGTTGATTCCTCCCACTCCTGCCCAGACCACAGAAGCAGCAGAATGTAATCTGCCCCACTGAAAAAAGGTACTGAGCCACATGGCTAACATAGATCAGAAAAATGGGTTAATCAAGATGTGAGAGTTAGCCAGTGAGAGGCTAGAGCTAATGGGCCAATCAGCTTATAATTTATGGAGACCTATGTGTGATTTTCTTTGGGGCTAAACAGTTGCGGGGTACCAGGCAGGACAAAACCCCAACAACAAACAAGCCAGCGTTCATGTTACATGGTTCAACTGGACAGTTTACAGAACTGCGAATAGTATTTTTTTTACTTTTATTATTTAGTCAATGTTACTTTATTACAGCATCCTTTATATTCTAAGAGACAACATATGTTTGCCTTCTTCCAAAATACTAAAAGGTTCATCAATATGTAAATGCATTGTTTCCTCCACAATAAGATGATTGGCTTTATAAATTGTTAATAATCGTGTCAACCAATCCAAATTATAACAAAACAGAGTGATCTATAACAACAAAGTGAGATATTTTTCACTTTCTCCAAAATATTTACTTGAAATGTACTGTGAATAAGAGAAATGCTAAAACGGTATTGGTGCTCATTTTCCTCTCTGCATCAGATACGGATCGATGCACACAGTGTCCAGATAATCGGCATGCCAACTAGGAGCAAAAGAACTGTCTCCATAAAAGAGTGACATTTCTGGCTTATGGGGACCCTGTTCTCTGTACTAAAGGCTCTTGTTCTTGTGGTGTTTAAGGAGCACTAAGACACTCCTACTGTGAAAGGACTCTCAGCTGTGTTCTGTTAATCTCCCTATTATTTACTTTCTCTATTTCCTGATCTACATTGAACATCCCGGCATGGTCACCTGTATCCTTAGGGTACTGTTTCTGAAGTCCTGTTTACTGTGGTTCTTTTCACTGTGTTGGCCAAAACTATTACTGTAGGTGTGATTTCCCATCTCTTACACAGGAAGGAAGATGAGGGACATGCTTATGTCAAGAGCTCTGAAATGTATCGCTTCCTTCTGTGTGCTGATCCAACTTAGCACCTGTGGGATATTGTTAGGAACACCTCCTCCTTTTTTGACACAAATGTACATCCTCAACATGGCCACATCTTTATTCTGTGCAACAATGGCTTAGTCACTGCCTTCTGCAGAATTCTCAGATACTGGGGCTCTCTGGCCCTAGGAAGTTTCTTCACTGTGGCTTTTTTTTTTTTTTTTGCCAGAAACCTGTCTGACACCTTCAGTGAAACCCAGTCCCTGACCTTCATCATGCTGGTGTTCTGTAGTGTCTGGGTGACCTTCCTCCCTGTCTACCACATTACCAAGGGGAAGGTCACAGTGACTGTGGAGGATTCTCCATAATGCTGTCTAGTGCAGGGCTGCTAGTGTGCATATTTTTCCCAAATGCCACATTCTTTTGCTAACATAGGTAAAAATTGTCTTCAAAAGTTCAAAGTTTAAACACATTCATGAATTCTAATGGTCATTTTAAAAGTTAATTCATATGTGACCTTGCTACTGAAGTTGAAAACATCACTGGACTATTATTTTTAAAAAGGTCATAATTTACTATTCATTTCTGTTGGGCAAAAATTATCTCAGGGCCTGTACCTCGAGGCCTGTAGGATGGAGAAAAGCCTGGCTTGAGTTTGAAGAATAGTCTCAAAGCTACTGAGTGGGGATGAGGCAGCAAAATCTAGATAGATGCCCCTCCAGCCAGAGGGAGGGCTTGGCTGTCTCTCATTGGCTGGAGGTACCCACATCACAGGATGTCCTGTGGCTGCAGATCTGATTGTCCTGAGTTGTGGGGCTACTGAACAGGCAGATAACACATTCACCTTTCCCTGGGGAATAAGGCTAAGGAGGCCTGGCACATTTCCATGGAGAGATCACTCTCAGGTCTTCTCTGATGGTATTTGTGTGGTTGTCTAAAGGCTGTTATCAATCTGATTGTCTGTGTTCACTCCAATTCTTCTGTTGTCTGTCAGTAGACTCATAAAGGATTAATATGGGCTAGTTAGATAATAGAAAGGGGGTTGATAAACAGGTAGGATGGAAACTATTTCACAGTAGTGGGTAATTTAGCAAGGCCCTCAAGTTAGGAGCACCTTTGAAGGGACCATCTAGTTACCAGAGTCTATAAATCCTACTGAACGAGCACAGCATACAAGAAAAAAATGATATCAGTTAAATTGTGCAGGTCATGGAGCAGCTATGAAATTCATGAAGAAATGGGGACATGGTTGGAAAACTGACAGCTGGGAGAAAATGATTGTTAAAGTAATCTCATTTGATACATTTGCATTTTAGTATACTAGAGACCAAAACCTGGTGAGGACAAATAATGCAGCTCTACCACTACTTGGCTTATGCCAAAAGGACTCTATATCCTGGTCTACAGACACTTGCTCAGCCATGTTCATTGCTGCCCTATTCATAATAGGTAGGAAGCAGAAACAACCAAATGCCTTTCAATTGCTGAGTAGATAATGAAAAGGTGATACATAAAGCACAACGGAAATTCTGCTCAGCCATAAAGAAAACAACAACGTGAAATCTGCAGTAAAATAATTGGAAGTAGAAAACAAACTGAGTGAGAACCCAGGGATGAAAAGGCCACATCTTTTATTTTATGCCAATAGGTGTTTTATCTGCATGTACATCTGAACACCAAATGTCTGCCTGGTGTCACAGAGGCCAGAAGAGGGTGTTAGAGCCCCTGGAATTGAAGTTTATACACTCTGTGGGTCCTGGGAAATGAGCCTGAGTCCTCTGGAAGACAGGTCAGTTTTTGTAATCTTTAAGCCATCTTTCCAGTGTTGGAGTTTTTTTTTTTTTTTGGTTTTTTTTGGTTTTTTTTGGATTTTTAGAGACAGGGTTTCTCCGTAGCTTTTGGTTCCTGTCCTGGAACTAGCTCTTGTAGACTATTAAACCTCAGTCTTGCTTCATTTTAACTCAGTCTAAATTCTTTTCTACAGCAAAGTGTGTGTGTGTGTGTGTGTGTGTGTGTGTGAGCAAAGTGTGTGTGTGTGTGTGTGTGTGTGTGTGTGTGTTTCTGGCTTCACCTGAATGGAGCAAAGTGTGTGTGTGTGTGTGTGTGTGTGTGTGTGTGTGTGTGTGTGTGTGTGTGTTTCTGGCTTCACCTGAATGGAGATCTCTGAAAAGGCCCCTCGAGCAGGTGGTAAACAGCTCCCGCTTCCCCCGAAAATCCATTGGTTCACTTAAGTAAAGGGTGGTCTCTGTAGGACACTAAGTCCAGGACTTCCTGTGCCCATTCACGACTTCATCTCCAGGAAGCAGGACGGTCCACTGAGTACTAGCAGACGCCCATCTTCCTTTTTCCTTGCGTCATGAGAGTCGCAGGATTGCAGGTCGCTGCCCCTGAGTTAGCAGGGACCGCTCTGCCTCTGGAGCTGTGGGATGGCCAACCTTGGCAGCGGGGGCCGCGGCCGGGGGCTGCCCGGCGAGCTGTCGGAGCAGGCGCAGCGGCGGCCGGGGCGGAAGTCCCTCACCCGCCATCTTCCTTTCTAGTGACGCCCTCGGTGCGGATCTGCCCTGACACAGAGGGAGTCAGGGTGGCTCGACCTCCGCAGCCATGTAACCCCCTTCCCGCAGGAACGGTTTTGATGCCGAGGCTCGCACGGGTGCCGACTTGGTGTCCCATGTCCCGAGTGCCGGCGAGCCGGGCGGAAGTCCCTCTCCCGCCGTCGCGGGGCCGTCCCGTCAGCTGAGGGAGCCGGGGCGCCCGAGCCTCAGCGGCGGTGCGGGGCGAGCCGCTGTGTGGCCGCTGGAGGCCAGAGCGCAGGCATGGTGAGCGCCGAGTGGCAGGCGGGCAGGACTACGGGAGCTCCCGGGGTGACGGGCCCCCGGCTCTGGGGGAGGGGACCCGCGGGTGCCCCGCGTCCTGAGAAGCCCTGCGGGTCCTAGAAGCAGCGTCTGAAATCCACGAGTTTGCTCTCCCCCTCCCTCTCAATCCAAGTGCTTGGGCCTCAGCATCCCTAAATGTCTCGGTATTTACTGCTCGGCAGACTCGTTCATACACGTAGCTGGGACCGGAGTGGAAGAGGGAAATCGAGGCCCTCCATGACGCGGTGAACGTTTTTGCCTTAGAACTGCTTGTGGACATTATTTAAAGTAGGATGAAGTAGGTGGGACATGACTTTTATTTCAAGCGAGTATTGGCAATAGCGGAGAAGCCTCAGGTATAATCTGTGCAAGCATCTCGGGGGTTGAGCAGAAAAGGCGTTTTGGTTTTTAGGGACGGACAACATTTTTTTAAGACGACGGGACTGTAGCAACTTCAGCTCTGAAATCGTTTCCCCTGAGGTCAGACTCTCCTTAGAATAAGTTAAGGGTCCCGGTTCTAGCTCACGATGAGGGTGAATAAGAAAGTGACGAGATTGGGAAAAACGAGAGAAATTTGGAAACATTACATTACAGAAGTATTTTGTAATTACCGATGAGGTTGTTTTGAAACAAAAGTGGGTCTCTGGGTAGTTTGTATCCTGCTGAATAATAGGTTAAAAAATGGATAGATGTTTTAAGTGTCATTATCTAAGAACAGGAGATAATGGTCCTGAAGAAAAGAGAAGGCACTGTGAGAGGAATGGCCTGTAGTCGGTGCTGTTTCCCGGAAAAGGAATGGGAGGAAGGAAAATAACGTATGTGGAGATCCCCAAATGTCTTAGCCACTCAGAGTTTCTCTACTCAGTGTCTGGAGTGATGAGACCACAAAAGCTCAAGGGGATCCTGAGCATAAAATGAAAGCTCTAGCGTGTTCGATGCCTGTGGGCAGGTAGGGCACAGACATCTTTGTGGTACACGCGGACAGCAGGTAAAACTTGGACCACTCATGTCAGTTGTGATCAGATGTATCATGAGCAGTGCCTGTGTGGTGAGATGGTTCCCCTGTGAACTGTAAGTGAAACAGGCTTCCTGCTTCCTAACCAGGAAGTTTATAGCATTTGAAGCTGTAAGCTCCCTTAGCGGGACTCTTGTGGTATGTTTTGTTGTTTTGTTTTTAATGTGTCCCATAGGTTTTGTGTTTCCACTTTGGTTTAGTTCCAGGAATTTTGACTTCTTTCTTGATTTCCTCTTTAGCCTATTCACCCTTCAATAATGAGTTATTTAGTCTCTGAGTTTGGGTACACATTAAAGATTTTCTTACTCTTGATTTTAAGTTTTATTGCGTCGTGGTCTGGTAGGATACATGAGGTTATTTCAGTCGTTCAGAATTTGTTGAGATTTGTTTTGTGCCCCAGGATATAGTCTATTTTGGGGAAGTTCCCATGGGCTGCTGAGTGGAATATATATTCATTGATAGTTGGGCAGAATATTCTATAGATATCTGTTACATTCATTTGGTGTATAACTCTAACTCCTGATTCTGATGTTTCTATTTCTTGTCCAGATAACCTGTCTATTGGAGACCGTGGGACATTAGCCACCTAATAGTATTGGATTAGTGTTAATCTGTCTTTAATTCCAATAGTATGCTTTTTTTGATATATTTACTATATATGTATGAGTATCTTGCCAACATGTATGCACCACATGTTTGTCTGATGCCTGTGGAGGTCAGAAGAAGGCATTCCTTGAAACCATAGGTCCCCTGCGACTAGAGTTACGGGTGATTGTGAGCCACCATGCAGGTTCTGGAACCAGCCTCTGGTCTGCTTTTTATAAAATTAGGAGCATCAGAGCCTTCACATATGCTCAGGATTGTAATGTCATTTTGACTCATTGTTCCCTGTTAATCAACTATGTGTGCTCTTTAGAAGCCTGCATCTTTCCTCGCCAAACTGTAGTTTTCTCTTACCTAACTCCTACAAAGAGGATCGTCTCCCTCCACAAGTCAGGGTGCTTTGGGTTGGGGAATTCTGCTTCTCCTGCTTTGTTTTTCTCCATACTCTCTTAAGCCCACCAAGTTTGCATTTTCTGGGCTATCACCTACAACCACTCACTTTCATCTGTTGCCTGTTTTCATCCTGTACAAAATCAAACTGGGGCTAACTTTCCCTGCCCTCCTATCTTAAAGCCTAACCCAATATCCATAGGTTTAAATGTCTCCATCCATTTATTACAGTCTAAAACTCAAAACTGGACTGTGATCTCAAAATATTGAAGTTGTTTTTTTCCTATTTCAATGAATAGCTTGATACCTGCTTATAAAAAGGGGAAATGCAATGCATGTTTCCAAACGTCAGTTTTTCTTTTATTCTATATTAAAGAGATTGTGGTTAATACCATTGTTGTTAAATGCCTGCTATGTGATAAACCAAATTTTTGTTTTCATTTGAGCCAGCTAAATACTGTTAGTTTTTCCGTGATCCGTGTGTGTGTGTGTGTGTGTGTGTGTGTGTGCGCATGCAGGTGCACTCTTGCACATACAGTTGTGTTTAGAAATCAGATGACAGTCTTTGTTGTTCACTACTGTATATGCCAGCTTAGCTGGCCCACCAGCTTCCAGGGATTCTCCTATCTCTACATACCATCTTGCCATAGGAGTTCTTAGAACTTTGACACTGAACTATAAGGTTCTTTCCTTTGATTTTATTATAACTATGCCTTGATTCTTCCTGTTTCCAGTAAGAAAATATTTAACTTAGTTTTGATTTCACAGGATTCCACGGTGAAATTATAAATATGCCTTACCATGTCTGGCTTTACTTGAGTTCTGGGAGTTCAAACTCAGGCTTATTTACACAGCAAGTGCTTTATATATTGAGCCATCGCCTAGACCTTCCCACTATCTATTCTTTTTATTATTGTTGTTATTTTTTATAATATATCCCTATCAGTTTCCCTTCCCTCCACTCCTTCAAGCCTCTCCCCACATCTTCTCTCCCCCAGATCCCTTTTCTCCTCCATTTCCCTTCAGGAAAAAGCAGGCCTTTCAGAGATATCAGCCAACACAACATAGCAAGATGAAATAAAACTAGGCACAAACTTTCATATCAAGGCTGTTTGAGGCAACCCAGGAGGAGAAAAGGAGTCCCCAAAACAAGCTCCCACTGTTATGAGTCCCACAAAAACACCAAGCTAACAACCATAACATTTATGCAGAATACCTAGTGCAGACCCATGCAAGCTCATGTGATTGCCACTGTGAGCCCTCAGATCTGCTTAGTTGATTCTGTGGGTCATGTTCTCCTGGTGTCTTCACCCCTCTGGCTCCTGAAGTCTTTCCTTCCCCACCCAATTTCCGCCTAATGTTTGACTGTAGGTCTCTGCATCTGTTCCCATCAGCTGGAGAGAAAGCCTCATGACAATTGGGCTAGGAACCAATGATCTATTCTTAACCAGTTTGTTAATGTTACCTTGAATAATGGGGTATGTTAATTATCTTTGCATTACTATACAATGTATCTAAGAAAAGCAATTGAAGGTTTTTGTAATGATTAGTCTTCTTGTTGATATAATTTGGAATCACCTAGGAAACACACCCTGGGTATGTCCATGAAAGTGTTTGCAGAAAGGTAACTGAGGAGGGAATACCCACTCTGAATCTAGGTAGTACCTATCTTACTTTCTTTTTGTGTTGTTATGATAAGTGACAAATGCAATTTAAGACAGGAAAGGTTTAATTCACAGTTCAAAACATAATTCATCCTGATAGGGAAGCAAAGGGAACAGGAACTTGAAGCATCTGAAGTCAGAAGAAGAAAGTAATGAATGCATGCTAGTGTTCAGCTACCCTTCTCCATTTTATACAGTCAAGAATCCCATGGCCAGGGGATAACCTCACCCACAGTTAAAATGGATTATCTCACATCACTTAGCATAGTCAAGATAAATCTCTTCAGGTGTATCCAGATGCCCATCTGCCTGGTTATTCATCACCAACCATTACACATAACCATGGTCTGAGATGCCAGACAAATAAAAGAGGGAAAAGGAATAATTCAAGTGTAAACCAACATTCCCTGCTCTATTTCCTGTTCTTCCCTGATGTGGAGTCCATGCTGCATGATCCTGTCCCCAGTGTCCGCCCCCAACCCCACGATAGATGCTCTCAAGACATGATTCAAAATAAATCTTTGATGAATTACTATTTAGTCACATGATGAGAAAAGTAACTTATACTTTTTAACAGGCTTATTTTATGGCAGGGTTCAGATAATTCATTCTTGTCACAGCTTTAGATCTACAATGAGGCAGAACATTTATGGCAACTAGTATTGGATGAGGTCACTCACTCTCATAATCTATTCTTAAAATATATGATTTTAAAGCAGCTGCTTGTTAACTCATGTCTGCACTAGTAGTAGTATTGGGGAATGATAAAGGCCTGGTCACCAGTAGAAAGTGTAATCTCCAGCAACATACTTGGTATTTTGTGATTGTTGTGCTTTACCAAGAATTCAAAGCTGATGTGAGAATTCTTGTGTCGGAGAGTACAGTTATGAATGTAAAAATAAGAATGTGATGGTCAGGATATGTATTGAACATTTAGAGAACACTCACAGATTTTCAATGTTGTGTGTCTCATCTTTTCTTCTGGAAATGTCTTGGCTACTTTAGGGCTCTGTGACCTTTGAAGATGTGGCTGTAAACTTCACTGTGGAGGAGTGGGCTTTACTAGATCCTTCCCAAAAGAAGCTGCACAGAGATGTGATGGAGGAAACCTTCAGGAACCTGGCTGCCATAGGTATAAATGAGGTCATACTCATTCTTTACTTAGTCAATCAGATTATAAGTCTTGCTCAAAAATGTTGCTCCATGATTTGGAATATGGAAAGGGCAAATTTGGTGGCTATATCAGTCATGGTCATGGTATACATAGAATCTAGTATTTTTTCCATTATAAGTAAGTAAATCAGATTTCCCTGGGTCTGTATTCTAGGAAAAACACAAGAAGACCAGCACATAGACAATGACCACAGATATTCCAGAAGAAATCAAAGGTAATTTTGCCAGCTCATGATAACATGTCTCATAATCTGGAAATGGCCAGTAGTTTTTAAAATCATCAGCTTCTTTGGCTAGTTCTCCTGATTGCTTTAAGGTGATGTAATCTAAAGCATTTATCTCCAAAAGTACATATAGGATTAGAAGTATTTACAGTATTGCCGTGATGATGCAAGTAAGAGGTACTTTCTAATTGTTTTGTACATACAAACTTTTGTCCAAACAACAAAGTTAATAAAAAATAGTGTTTGTACCTTCCTTGAGACTTTGAATATGGAGTATATAAAAAAATATAAAAAAATTTTATGCTTACTCTGGGAATGAACAATCTTCATGATATATATGAAAAAAATTAGATAAAGAATGGTTTTTACTTAAGCATTTTGCATAAAGAATAATCAAGTACATTTACCTGTGATATAGAAGCAAATATGATCATTCATGCCCTCATTCCCAGCTATTAGGAGTCTGAAGGAGTGCCGAATTTGAAGGTAGCCCATGCATCATAGCAAGAAATTGACCTTAAAACTAAATAAGACCTAGACTTTCATTGTTTCCAAAATAATTAGCCTATGAGAGGTATTAAGAAGTCCCATATGATTGGGCTAGGAAAATGACTCATCAGGTAAAGGTATTCACTACCAAGCCTGATGACCCAAGTGCAATCACTGACACCTATATAGTAGAAGAAGAGAATCAACTCTTACAAGCTGTCCTCTGACTTTCTTATGCACACCATAGCATGTGCACATACAAATAGTAAATAAATGTTAACACAAAAAGAAACCCTATATAAATACAGTGTCTTGATATTACCTGTCTCTACATTCTGTAGAATCTTCAGTCATATTCAGAAATTCTCAGGAATTCTGCTGATAGGGAATTTATAACTTTATTGGTATACTTTCCTTTTTTTTTTAACAGAAATGAAGATGTAGAAAGACTGTTGGAACATAACAAAGATAGTGAATGTGAAGATATCTTCAGACAGATTCCCAACACCATTGTGAACAGGAAAATTTCTCATAGAACAATAATTTGTGAAAGTCATGTGTATGAAGACAACATGCTCATTGGTCATTCATCTCTTAATGTGTCTATGCCTCTTCAGACTACACACAAACCTCATCAATATGAGCTATGTGGAGAGAGACTCTTTAAGATTGGGGAATGTGAGAAAGCCTTCATTTATCCAGAATGCTTTCTGAAGGGTGACGACACTGACACTGAACAGAGCTCCTATGAATTTAACCAGTGTGAGAAAATCTTCAAAAGTAATGGCTGCATTCAAATACGTGTGAATAATGAAACTAGAGAAGAAATATGTATGGATAAGCAGCATTATAATGCCTTTACTTATCCTGATTTTCTTCAGTATGTTGAAAAGATCCACACTGGAAAGAAACCCTATGTATGTAAACAATGTGGGAAAACCTTTTCTTTTTTGAGTAACATTAGAAGACATGAACGAACTCACACTGGAGAGAAGCCATACAAATGTAATATATGTGATAAAACCTTCACTTGTTTAACTAACTTTCAAGAACATGAAAGAACTCACACTGGAGAGAAACCCTATTTATGTACACAATGTGGGAAATCCTTTTCTTTTCTGAGTAACATTCGAAGACATGAACGTACTCATACTGGAGAGAAACCATACAGATGCAATCTATGTGGTAAGGCTTTCAGTTACTTGACTAACTTTCAAGACCATGAAAGAACTCACACTGGAGAAAAACCTTATGTGTGTACACAATGTGGGAAGGCTTTTACTTACTACTATTCTTTTCAGACACATAAACGATGTCACACTGGAGAGAAACCCTATGTCTGTAAGCAGTGTGGGAAAGCCTTCAGTTATTACAATTCTATTCAGACACATAAACGATGTCACACTGGAGAAAAGCCCTATGTATGCAAGCTGTGTGGGAAAGCCTTTACCACTCTCAGTTCTCTTCGATATCACGAGAGGATTCACAGTGGTGAGAAGCCCCATGTATGTTTGCAATGTGGAAAAGGTTTCAATTCTTCCAGTACCCTTCGAATACACGAAAGGACTCACACTGGAGAGAAACCCTATAAATGTAAGCAGTGTGGGAAAGTCTTTAGTGTTGACAGTTCCCTTCGATACCATGAGAGGATTCATAGTGGGGAGAAACCCTATGTATGTAAGCAGTGTGGAAAAGCCTTCACTCGGCACACCTCCCTTCGATGCCATGAAAGGATTCACTGTGGGGAAAAACCCTATGTATGTAAGCAGTGTGGAAAAGGTTTTATTTCTTCCAGTAACTTCCGAAAACATGAATCAACTCATTCTGGGGAGAAACTCTGTGTATGTAAACAATGTGGTAAAGCCTTTACCGATCATAGTTCACTTCGAAGGCATGAAAGAATTCACAGTGGGGAAAAACCCTATGTATGTAAGCATTGTGGAAAAGGTTTCTCTTCTTTGAGTGGTTGTCAAAGACATGAACAAATTCACACTGGTGAGAAACCCTATGTCTGTAAGAATTGTGGGAAAGCCTTCACTAATCCCAGTGCCCTTCGAAATCATGAAAGGATTCACAGTGGTGAAAAGCCCTATGTATGTGAGCAGTGTGGGAAGGGTTTTATTTCTTTTAGTAAGTTTAGAATACATGAACGAATTCATACTGGAGAGAAACCATATAAGTGTAAACTATGTGTGAAAGCCTTTACTGGTCATAGTTCCCTTCGACGTCATGAAAGGATTCATAGTGGAGAGAAACCTTTTGTGTGTAAACAGTGTGGGAAATCCTTTTATACTTTAAGTGATTGTCAAAGACATGAACAAATTCACACTGGCGAGAAACCTTACATTTGCAAGCAATGTGGGAAAGCCTTTACTCGTTCCAGCTCCCTTAAAATACATGAGAAGACTCACACTAGAAGGAAATCCTAAGTGTAGAACATGGGAAATTATTCTTAACATGGCAATGCATAGGGCAGAGAACAAGTGTCATGTTGTCTGAAGAAATGCCTTTAGTCATGTTGGCTGTATTCACAGACATGCTACTACATACTATAGTGAGAAATCATAAATGGATGTGCAGATGTCTTCAGTTGGTGGACCTCTGAAAATTTACCCAGTATCCAAACTTGTATAACAAAGTTATCAGCTATGAAACAGTTTTCAGGATTTTGTGAAAGTTCCTTATGTAATAGAATTAATTTTTTTAAGATTCTTATGAATAAGTTTGAGAAAGAATATTGTATTAATTGGTCAATAATTGATAAAATAAGTCTCTGGAATGTTTACTTCTATTTTTTATTCTGTAAATAATTTTTCAGATGACTTCATCTCTAACGTTTCTTTAAGCAGTGAGTCAGGAATTTAAAAGGTAGTCTCTTTTTAGCCAAGTCATGTATATTTTCATATTGGATCCATACGTAACACAATGTGTTTCTAAGTTGTTTTAGAGTAATGTTAATGAACTGTTGAAATGAAGTGTATTTGTAGAACTTCTCTATTGAGATCATGTAGCAGCTTCTTTGATGTTTTTTGTCTTGTTTTATTTTGTTAGGGTTTTAGGGTTTTTTGTTTTTATTTTTTGGAACAAGGTTTCTCTGTGTAGCCCTAACTGTCTTAGAACTCTTTAGACCAGGCTAGCATCTAACTCAGAGATCTACCTGCCTCTGCCTCCCCAATGTTGGTATTAAAGGCATGCACCACCATGCCTGGCTCTTGATATTTCTACTGTATCTTTTCTATTCTTATTTTGGCTCACAGTCCATTATGGCAGAGAAGTCATTAAGTAGAAGAGTGTCTGTCATTGTGCACACAGAAGTGAAGAGTGTGCCTTATTAGGGATCAGTTGAAGATACAAGAAGGACACACATTCTCAGTGACCTGCTTCTGCCAGCTATGCCATACCTCGTCCTTTTCACCACTCCCAGTTACTCTTTTGACTAGGGGAAAGCTCTGGTACTCGAGTCGTTTCTGGAAATGACACAGCATAGTTGTGCTATTTTACTGTAACATCTCAGTGCAGCCCAGTTGTTTACTTCTCAGGTAATTTAACTTTGTGTTTTATATTTTCATATGTGTTTTCTTGAAAACTTTGCACATTAGAGTTCTCAACCCTCATTTGGTTGCTGAGTATGCGTTTCCTGTCATTTTCAAGCATTCTTTACATACCATCACATAACTAGAAATATACAAAACCATGCTGGGCTTATCTAAGCATTTATGTATATATTCACATTAAAAATTAAACTGCTACAAATGCTGTCATAGTTTATGAGAAAAATGGGTTGTGAACCTTGGAATGTTTACCAAGTGGGAAGAACTGTTAAGGACCATGAGTGATGACGGGTAACAGGCAATCTGGAAAGCCATTGTCATAAAGTCACAAAGGCGTCCTCATCATCACATTTCCATACTCAGTAGCTCCTCAGCCCTGTGTCAAGGGGTGAAACGTGGATGTCAACACTGAGGCACTCATTACATGCTACTACACTCTCGTAAAAGTAAACCTGCTGTCCTGGTCTGTCACCTGGGTACCCTGTCCCTTTAAGAGACAAGCCTGGCCCACTCCCAATCTCCCTCCTCCTCCAGCTCTCCTCTCTCTGTCTGCCCTTCTGGAGAGGCAGCTTCGGCCTCTCTCCCTTCCCTTTGTTTCTCTTTCTTCTCTTCCGTTCCCCCTTCTCCCCCTTCCTCCATAACTACTTACTCATACTGTTCCCAACACCCCAGCTCTCTCTGCATGGCATATCTGTTTGTCTCCCGCCTGCCATGGCCTCAGGTCACCCAGCCTTGGGTCACCCACAGTGCAGCCTTGTGAGAGTGACTGCTATTGTTTTATATGTATATGTATATTGTTTTTTATGTATATAGCACAGGATTTATGCCATACTAATTGTTTTATTTCCTATGCTATGTGAGTTTATGTTTCCATTTGGGATTATGGAACCTAAGGTCTCTAATTCTTTCTTAGTACTGTCAGGTTTATGTTTCCTGTGATTAGGGGACTTGAAACATACAATGTATGTCATTCTGCTACTGTATACAATATACAATGACTGGTGCTGATTTATTTTAATAGCATGCAGGATTCAGAAAATTTCTCATTACCTCTCACTAGTACCCAATTATCATTTAAAAAGAAAACAGCTGAAAAGAGCAACATGAAAGAGAACTGACTAGAACATCTGGAAGTCCCAATTTCTCAGAACCTCAATTTATTCACAAATTCCTAAGGAAAATCCAATAACCCCCATGTCTCAAATAGAATTGTGTTCATTGCCTTGTCTTATTTGCAGAATAACTTGGAATAGAGGGCAGAGAGCTGAATCCAGAGAGTCCAAGTTGGGGGCCCACACTAAGCATGAAAGGGAGAGCAATGGTGTTCCTTTTAGAGGTTTTTGGGCAGCTGTTCTCCCCTGCACATGGCCTCCAGCTGCTCAGAACAGTCAGAAATGCTACAGAGCCCCACAAAACAGGAGATCCACATTTGAGTTTGATGTCTTCTCTGAGCTGGTCACCCTGGCTTCAGGCCACTATTTTCTGAAGCACCTTTAGGTTGTGCAATGGGTGGAGTCACGCTTTACCTTCAGTAGATTAGTGGGGTCTGTGGGCTGGGTGTATAGCTCAACAATAGTGTCCCTAATTAGCATGGTCAGGAACCTGCATTCAATCTTAGGAAATGATGTTTATAGAGGTCCTTAGGCATTTGGAGTTTATGAATTTGATAGCCTGCTTAGGGAAAAACCAGGAAGTGTGGTGAGGTGAAGTATTTCTCAGGAAGGACAAAAATTTCCACATTGGAAAGCAGGAACAGTGTGCCGTTGCAAGGTCCCAAGCCCCCCAAAATGGCAGTGCCACTGAGAGTGTCCTAAAGGACAGTCTGGGTTCAGCTCAAGCTTACACTCGTAAAATTTTTCTTCATTTCTTGAATGACCTCTGAGAGCTTATTGTAGTTTACTGGCTTGAGGGCAGCCTTACACAGACCTGCCAGAAGCCAAGTCCAAAATCGGTCCCTCGTTAAAATTCTACCTGGGGTGTTATAATCCCAGTGTGGTTCCTGCTCGGGGACCACCTCTGTCCTCGGAGCATGTGTTGCATGTGTTTGGTGAACTTAGTCTGCATGTAGTCTGGCCTGCTCCCAAACTCACCTGCACTATTCAGGAAGTAGGTTATTAGGATCATATAGATATCATGAAAGGTGAGATTATAAGACTGGGTAATATATTGGAATTGCTTTATGAAAGAGGTAGAATTAGACATATAGGACCCCAGTTTTTGTTCTATATGGGAGAGCGCTGAGAGGGAGAAAGGAACATGTATCATAATCAATTGATCTACGCCAGACACCTCTTGCAATGAGAAAACTGCAACTGACTTAGCTTGGTCACGGTTGGGTTCCATAGCAGCACATGAGCGTGTGAGAGGAGGGGTAAAGGTGGGTGCCAGAGCAGGGTGGCTGCTGCAGCCAGGCACCTGAGAGGAGGAGTGATCCAGCATGGCTGACGGAGCAGTTAGTGGGAAGAGAGCTGAAGAGCAAGCAGAGGGGGGTGGTGAGGCAGGGGGAAGTAAAGAAGCAGAAGTATCTGTCTATTGAGGTCAGGAAGGTGTGGTTCCTTAGCAGGGACCAGAGCAGTAGTTGAAAGAATAGAGGTAGGAGCTGGAGGGATGGCTATAGGAGCTAAAGGAACAGGAGAAGGGGCTGAATCTGGAAAAATCCCACACTAATGAATTAACAGAACATTTGAAAACTTTAGAACAAAAAGAAGCAAACTCACCTAAGAGAACTAGATGGCAGGAAATAAATTGAGAGCCGAAATCAACAAAATAGAAACAAAGAAAAACAATACAAAGAATCAATGAGACAAAGAGTTTGTTCTTCAATAAAATCAACAAAATAGACAAACCTTTATCCAACCTAACCAAAAGGCAGAGAGAGAATATCCAAATTAACAAAATCAGAAATGTAAAGGGGGACATAACAACAGACATGGAGGAAATACAGAGGATCATCAGGTTATATTTTGAAAACCTGTACTCAACCTTCATCAGGCGATGAAAGGAGACAGAGACAGAGTCCCACATTGGAGCACTGGACTGAAACCCCAAGGTCCAAATCAGGAGCAGAGGAGAAAGAGCACGAGCAAGGAACTCAGGACCGCGAAGGGTGCACCCACACACTGAGAGAATGGGGATGTTCTATCGGGAACTCACCAAGGCCAGCAGGCCCGGGTCTGAAAAAGCATGGGATAAAACCGGACTCGCTGAACATAGCAGACAATGAGGACTGCTGAGAAGTCAAGAATAATGGCACTGGGTTTTGATCCTACTACACATACTGGCTTTGTGGGAGCCTAAGCTGTTTGGATGTTCACCTTACTAGACCTGGAAGGAGGTGAGTGGTCCTTGGACTCCCCACAGGGCAGGGAACCCTGACTGCTCTTCGGGCTGATGAGGGAGGGGGAGTTGATTGGGGGATGGGGAGGGAAATGGGAGGTGGTGGCGGGGAAGAGACAGAAATCTTTAATAAATAAATAAATAAATAAATAAAACCTGTACTCCACAAAATTGGAAAACTTAAAGGAAATTAACAACTTTCTGGATAAATATCACTTAACAAAATTAAATCAAGACCAGATAAGCAAATTAAAAAGACCTATAACTGCTGAAGATCTAGAAACAGTCATAAAAAGTCTCCCAACCATAAAAAGCCCAGGACCAAATGGTTTTGGCTTAAAATTCTACAAGACTTTTAAAGAAGAACTAATACCAATACCCCTCAAATTATTCCACACAATAGAAACAGAGAACATTGCCAAACTCTTTTTATGAGGCTACAATTATCCTGATTCCCAAACCACAGAAAGACATTACTAAGAAAGAGAATTACAGATCAATCTCATTCAGGAACATGGATGCAAAAATACTCAACAAAGTACTAGCAAATAGAATCCAAGAACACATCAGAACCATCATCCACCATGACCAAGTTGGCTTCATCCCACAGATGCAGGGATGGTTCAACATATGAAAATCTGTCATGTAATCCACCATATAAACAAGCTAAAAATAAAAACCACATGATCATCTCATTAGATGCCAAAAAAAGCATTTGACAAAATACTACATCCCTTCATGATAAAGGTCTTAGAGCAGGGATACAAGGAACATACCTAAACATAATTAGGCAATATACAGCAAGCCAACAGCCAACATCACACTAAATGGAGAGAAACTCCCACTGATTCCACTGAAATCAGGAATAAGACAAGGTTGTCCACTCTCTCCATATCTAGTCAATATAGTTCTTGAGGTTCTAGCTAGACCAATAAGACACCAAAGGGAGATCAAGGGGATAAAAATTAGAAAAGAAGTCAAACTCTCACTGTTTGCTGATGCTATGATAGTTTACATAAGTGATCCCAAAAATTCTACCAAGGAACTTCTACAACTCATAAACACTTTCAGCAATGTAGCAGGATACAAGACTAACTCAAAAAAATCAGTAGCCCTCCTGTACACAGATGATAAAAGGACTGGGGAAGAAATTAGAGAATCAACACTCTTCACAACAGACACAAATAGCATAAAATATCTTGGAGTAACTCTAATCAAACAAGTGGATGACTTGTATGTCAAGAACTTTAAATCTTTAAAAAAGAAATTGAGGAAGACACCAGGAAGTGGAAAGATCTCCCATGCTCTAGGTAGGCAGAATTAACATAGTAAAAATGACAATCTTACCAAAAGCAATATACAGATTCAATGCAATGCCCATCAAAATGCCAGCAAAATTAATCACAGACCTCGAAAGAACAGTACTCAACATCATATGGAAAAGCAAAAAACCCAGGATAGCCAAAACAATCCTGTACAATAAAAGAATATCTGGAGGCATCCCGGACTTTAAACACTACTACAGAGCTACAGTACTGAAAACAACCTAGTATTGGCATAAGAACAAACAGGAGGACCAATGGAACTGAATAGAAGACCCGGATATCAATCCACAGATCTTCGAACACCTGATCTTTGATAAAGAAGCAAAAAATATCAAATGGAAAAAAGAAAGCATATATAACAAATGGTGCTGGTAAAATTGGATATCAACATGTAGAAGAATGGAAATAGACCCATATCTATCACTATGCACAAAACTCAAGTCCAAATGAATCAAAGACCTCAACATAAAGCCAGCCACACTGAACGTTATAGAAGAGAAAGTGGGAAGTACACTTGAATACATTGGCACAGGGAACCACTTCCTAAATATAACCCCAGAAGCACAGACACTAAGAGAAACTATTAATAAATGGGACCTCCTGAAACTGAAAATCTTCTATAAAGCAAAAGACACGGTCAACAAGACAAAATGATAGCCTACAGAATGGGGAAAGATCTTCACTAACCCCACATCAGACAGAGGTCTGATCTCCAAAATATACAGAGAACTCAAGAAATTGGACACCAAAAGAACATAATCCAATTTTAAAAAATGGAGTATAGACCTAAACAGAGGACTCTCAAGAGAGGAATCTAAAATGGCTGAAAGACACTTAAGGCAATGTTCAACATCCTTAGTTATCAGAGAAATGCAAGTCAAAACAATTCGAGATTCCATCTTACACCTGTAAGAATTTCCAAGATCAAAAACACTGATGACAACTTATACTGGAGATGTTGTGGGGAAAATGAAACACTTCTGCATTGCTGATGGGAATACAAGCTGGTACAACCACTTTAAATATCAGTGTGGTGATTTCTCAGAAAATTAGGAAACAACTTTCCTCAAGACCCAGTAATACCACTTCTGGGTATATATCCAAAGGATGCTCAATTGTTCCACAAGGACATGTGCTCAACTATGTTCAGAGCAGCTTTGTTTGTCATAGCCAGAACCTGGAAACAACCTAAATGCCCTTCGACTGAAGAATGGATAAGGAAAATGTTTACACAATGGAGTACTACACAGTAGAAAAAATAACATCTTGAATTTTGCAGGGAAATGGATGGAGCTAGAAAACATCATTTTAAGTGAGGTAACC